AGGGCACTAAATACATGTTCTGCTTGACTGATACTTCCTTTGCTCCTGGGGAAAGCAGCTAAGCCTGGTGTTAGAGGTAAGGGTGGGTTGCACAGATCATACCTAACTCTGCACATGTGTACAAGTATGCAAAGTGAAACATGTATAAAGCTTCTTTACTACATAATGTATTGGTGACAGAGGTCTGTCAGATGACTTGAAAAGATCTTAGTTCCAAACTATTCTTGCAGGTGACTTTACTGTAGTTTGTGAGCACAGTTGGACATTATTGCTGATACTGTTAGACATTCTGGATACTTTCAGCTGTGCTGAAACAAAACATAATAGATCTTATACATCCTTCTGTATAAATGGGCCAGTGGGTCAAAGATAGGGATTTTCTAAGGAATAAGTTAACTCATAAATCAATACCGTATTATTAATTGAGGACTATGGAAAAACAGCCTCATAGCAAGTTTAAAGTTCAACTGCAGATATTAGTGGAACTGATAAATTGCTCAGCTTCTAAAGAAAAATCCTGGCTGCTGTGAGTCATTATTGATGAGAGTTGGTCACATTTGCCACTCTTTTCTAATTCCTCTCTACTGGGTAAGACATTAAAGACTCAGTTTGAATAGACTGTTCTGCTTTAGTTTTGATTTATGTATAGTGCTCCTGATCTTGGGAGTGCTGAACAAATGTTGCAAAATTAATCTGTGTTTGCCTAGGTGATGTTTATTCTATTGAAGAGTGGTTTGTCTGGAGACTGGTTTGAACAGTTGTGCCTGTTAGTCCTTGACACTGCTATTTAAAGTACTTTCTTTCATTTTCTTTGAGGAGTTGATACACAAGGTGTTCAACCTGTCAGTCCCTTACAATCTGTATCAGTGTAACTGAATCATACAGTGCAGTGTGTGAGAAGCCTAGTGCTGGTAAAAACAAATGTTCAGTATTAATTTTTTTCTGGTTATGCAAAATATTCTGTTTATAGCCAAGTTACAAGCTTAGCAAGCAGCTTAAGTGCCAAACGGAGTTGTCCTCTTTTCACTTGTAGTAGTAGGATGCATCAGAAAGTCGAACTCCAATAATAAATCTTTCTTACACCATTAAAAGAATGCATCCATGACAGATGTATGTCTTCTTGTGGTGCTTGAATACAGTTTTGGGGAAAAAAATCTCAGCTGCTCATGTGAATATGAAACTGGCTGACAAGAGATTGATAATAAAAATTAAAAGGCATGGGAATTTAAAAATGGGTATCTTTGCAGTGCTTTTATTTCAGTTGGTGTATGAGAGTTCTGCATGGCTGGATTGCAGGCTATTCAATGCTCAGTGGAACACAGATGATGTGGTTGGGCACTGGTTTTAAAGGGAAGTCTGAGCTGCCTGGACCCATGTTCTGTGTTCCAGAATGCAGTTACACAAGTTGCTACAGGTTCCTGTCGAGTTCCCTGAGTGATGTAAACATGGAGGAACTTGCTTTTTGCAGCTGGGCAAGGAAACAAGTGTTCTGTGGCATGTAAATACAATCCTCTGCCTCTAAACATGAGTGTAGGGAAGAAAAGATGGTATCAAATGAATCAGTCATACTCTGGGAATGGGAAGCAAGGCTGGAATGGAGGAGCTTTCCACAGTGAGATGTTTGTGAACAGACTCTAAATCACTGTTGCTGGAAAAGATTGTGTTATTTCTTCCTCCACTCTACCTTGATAATCCTAAAAATTAGAAGGTAATGGCCATTTCTGAGGGAAAATAAGCCTAGGAGAGTACAGGATATCTAGGGCAACAAAGCAAAGGGTGCAAGAAAAGTCATCTTCAAAAATATATTAAGGAAAAGAAAAACAAAAGCAGTGCTTTCCAACCAGTGGTTTGTATTTCATTTGGCTTGAATTTTTTTTTCAGCTTATGAAACAAGAGGGGAATAGCTGCTTTTTGTGCTATTCCTGGCATCCTGTTACTGCCCTCTGCTTAATTTTGAAAAATACAGGGTCAAAGGAGAGCTTTTATTAGGTGATACTAAGTCAAGACTAAACATAAACTTGGCAGAAATAATTGCATAAGATTGTTCAGAAGATCTCCTGACGTGTTTTTTCTGGAGTCATTTTTTTCTTCCCCAGCCTGTTGGGGAACTTGAGGTATGACATATAAGTAGTTTAAAAATTATTATATAGGACCAGACAGAAAAAACTCTAACCCACTACATTAATTTCTATATGATTGGCATGTGTAATTATATATAAATAGAGAAACCAGCACATGATTAGTAGAGTTTTTCTTGGTGGTGTTTGAAAAAGGATTTGTGAATTCTAATTCACAATATGGAGTTTTTAAAGCAAGGAGAAATGGCTGCAACTTTTTTAATTTTAAGATTTTTTACAGTAGCTTAACCGAATACCATGGTCATGGCTTTGGAAGTTCTTTTTAATAATTTCAGGTATGTGAAACAAGGAAGTTCTGGCTTTACTAGTTTACTTCTTACTGGATAAGGGAATTTTTGAAGGGCTTCCTTTACCTTTTCTTAAATTTTGGAGTTGCATATCTGTAGTTTTCTCTAAATTAATGTGTTGTTTACTCAGGCTAGTTACTCATTTGTTAATGAGCAGTTTTTTTAAGAGTATACACCTGAAGAGTTTTTGTTTTCACCTGCAGTAAGGATTCTCTGTTTGTTACTGGTTCTAGTCTAGAGAGTCCTGGCTCTTCTGTGGGATGCAGAGTACAGGTCTGCACCCCTCTGCCAGTTTTGTGATGTGTGTTTAAGGATCTCAGGAGAACTGAACTAGTGGTGGGGTGTTTGTTTGTTTGTTTTAAAGGTAGCTGTAGGGATAAATTACTTCCTGGCAGAACTGTTCAGACTGTCCTCAACCAAGGCTCCCCTTTTCAGGGTCAGTCCCACCTGAAGTTTCAGCTTTCACTGTCCTGCACAGCCTATCTGGTTTTCCTTGCCTGGTGAAAAATAAGACTTGTAGTTTGGCTGGTGGAGACAGTACTTTTTCTATTGTCTTTGCTAAAGGTAGAACCTCCTTAGAATCACAGAGGTTGGAAAAGATGTGTAAGGTCATAAAGTCCAACCACAAACCCAACAGTGACAAGTGAACCACTAAACCATGTCCCCACATCTGTGTATCTGGTGACTTCACTGCTGCCCTGGGTAGCCTGGTCGAATGCTTGACAACCCTTTTGGTGAAGAAATATTTCCTGCTATCCACCCTAAACCTCTCCTGGTGCAACCTGAGGCCATTTCCTCTGCTCTTGACACTTGTTAGGTGGGAGAAGAGACTGACCCCACCTTGCTACAACCTCCCTTCAAGTATTTATGGAGAACAGTAATATGTTCTCTCAATACTTCTTTTAAATGGTTGCTAAAATAATAAAATATTAGTGCTATAAATGGTTAAGTAGAATTTCTCATCTTATGTTAAAGATTTTACAAGTACATAAGGACTGTATGTAACTACTCTGCCATTATTGCTACCTAGAGTAGTCCAGAGTCAGGGATTTCTTTTAACATTCTTTACTGCAATATATAATCTGGTTAGTGTTGATCAAAAAGGGTTAATTTATATGCATTTTCCTTTTACAAGGTGGGGGCTTTTTTCCAAACTGTTCAGAGTAATTAAGAAACAACAATTACTGCTGTTGTGTTGCTAGTTGGTAGACTGGCAAAATACCTATCTAAGTGTCAAATGACTTGTAATGACCTTCAGCCTGTGGTTTCATGCCTGATGTTACTAAAACCATGCAAAAGTATTTAGAAAACCTTCCAAAAACCTTCCATGTTGATCTCATGCAGGCTTCTGAAAAATTGGTATATGGTGTTCAACACTAGGACTACAGAGATTCTTAAAAACAATTGTACTTCCTGTGCATCATGGATAAAGTAGTATATTTTCTTTGAAAGTAGGTTAGAGAATGGAAAGGCTGGAAGAAAAGAGAAATTAAGGCAGTTTACAGGTTTTTTTTTAAATGGAATTTAGTATAGTGGAGAGAAGAAAGAAGAACTCAGTTCCAGTGTTTCCTGTCTGGATGGGAAATAATGACTGTCTAAATTACCAAGTAATTGAATGCAGAAGGAACCAGATGAAAGCAGTGATGTGTCTGACACAGGTTTGGAATGTTTCACCTGTGGCTGGCCCTGCTCTGCTCACAGGTTCTCCCAGGATGCCCACAGCTCACATCCTGAGCACAGGTTCTGTGTCTGCATTAACATTGCTGAGTGCATGGAAGAAAAGCTGCTGGTTTAGTTGGTTCAGAAGGGTCAAGGGTGCAGTTCCTAGGCACTGAAACTGCCCCACAAGCCAAACCAGCCCCCAGTAAGTGTGGCTGATTAGGAGTTTTAATTCAAAACTGTGCTACTGCTCTGAACTGAAACATTAATTTAGATCCAGCCAAGGAAGTCTAACAGTCATTGTTTGTCCATAATTTATCAGGAATGAGAGATTTGAAAGCATGTGCCTGTGGTCAGGCATTTGATGGAAACAGTTGTCTTACTAAAATGAAGCTGAGCTTATCTGTGAATTATAAATTGGTCAGATGCGTTTCCTGAGTACAGTATGCTGGTTTTATGCTTGGTCCAGAATTTCACTGCTCTTATATCAAATGATGCAATGAAATTGAAATAAATCATCTTTTGGCTGCAGCAGGGGAAGACAGAGGAGATGGGAGTCATTCCCTTTTGGGTTAAATGCAGAGTATTTCAATTAGCATGAAGGATGTCTAGGAAAATAAGAATTGATATCTTGCAGAGGAGTAGGAAAAAACTGTTTTGCTTGTGTTATGGATGTTGAATTTTGAGCAATAGCACTTGACAAAGTAAAATAAAATCATTGTTAATTTAATGTAGGTAGAAACTTGTCTGACTAGACTTTGCTATAAAGAACTGGTATAGAATAATTAATCTGAAATAGTTTATATCTGTATCATTATATGTTTACTTACATACCCTTCTGGCACTATTTTTTTTGTTTGATGAGGCTTGTGTTTTTTAACGTGTGCAATTTCTTTTTTTTTTTTTTTTAATGCAGTCCTTCCAGGGAAGCCAGGGACGAGCCTACCTCTTCAATTCTGTGTGAGTATGTGGCTGTTGGTCTGCACACCACCTGCAGAGTGTAACTTTATGCTTCCCAAAGGGAAACAGTAGGAATTAACATAGCTGTACTTTGCCCTGTTCTTTTTAATGCTGGCTTTACTCACCAGCAATAGTTACTAAAGAGCTACTGGGCTGATTCTGAATCATTCCTTTGCACATATATCAGTTTCTTATATTTTAAGTAATTCTGCTAAGAGCTGAATGATTAGGGGAGTGTGCTAATGTGAAATTCCTTTTGTGTATGTAATGGTAGCTGTATCGAGCAGGAGCTGCCATTCTGAGATACTCCAGAAGTCACAAGATATTGAATGACTGTAAATTTTCTTTAGACAACTCTGCTGTGGTCTAAAGAATTTTCCAGTCTGACAGTTGGATACATTTGCAGGTTAATGTTTCAGTAAACTTGGTACATCTTAAATGACCTTGAATATTGCAAACGTGCTAGAGGCAAAAGGTCTCTGTGATCTTATCAAGCCTAATAGTTGCAATCTTAGGCACGTCCTTTCCTTGATAGGAGGCTCTTTGCATTTGTTAATGGGTGTATTTTAAGTTTTTAATATGCAAGATTGCATTTTTGTCTTTATTTTTCAGCAGTTTTTGTGTTGCAGCATTTTGAAAGAGATACAGTTGAGTGTCCTGGTCTATTTTTGACCAGGACAATGGAACTGTAACTGCAAAGGATTTGATTTGCAGATCCTTGAAGTTATTTTAATATGTAGTTGTTCAGTGGTGACTTGGGATTTCTGCTATAATTTCAATAGGAAGAATCTGGTACTACAACAGCAAAAATGGGAAAATTTTGCTCTTGTTTAAAACTATCTAAAAACTTGGTTTAGTCTTGCCTTATGTTTTCTCCATAGGCTCATTTGTGGAAAAACTGGCCTGATGCAGTGCTTCATGGGATGTTTTGTTTTGAAATTGCTGTTTGTTCATCAGAGCTTAGTCTGCTGATCTGTAGCAAAGAAATATTTATGAAGCTTTTTCCTTGCTGCTATTTTGGAGCTGGTTCTAAATTCAGCTGTTGGTGCTGATTCACTGGTACAGACTTCCATTAGAGAGGTCTCAAATTGTTTTTGAAATAAAGCCTGAAACTGTAGAAGTGTCCAGTTACTGTGTAGTGTTCTGTTCTCTGGAAGTTTAACTATTTAGCTTGTCTTTGTTGCTGGGAGTAAGTGGGTTTCACCAAAAGTGACAGCACAACCACTTAAAAACAAAAACAAACCTCTTTTTTTCTTCCTGTCTTGCTCAGTGTAACAGAGGAAGTTACTTCTGAAGCATTGAATGACTTAGGCATTTTTTAACTATTTGTTAACTATTTTTTGTCTGGGTAAAAAAGGTGGGGAACAGTAAGAAAAGAAACACACTCACCTGTTAACATAATTTCTCCCTTTTTTTCAGGGTAAATGTGGGCTGTGGTCCAGCAGAGGAGAGAGTTCTTCTGACAGGTTTACATGCTGTAGCAGATATCTATTGTGAAAACTGTAAAACCACTCTTGGATGGAAATATGTAAGTAATACACTTAAATCCTCAATAAGTGTTTGTATGTTGAAGCACAGATGTTTGAGTAGCACCTTTGCTGGTGATTTAGGTGAGTTAGCTCTGGTGTTTTGTGTACATCAGGCTCTAATATAGTCTTGCCTCCTTGTATCTGCAGAAATGCTGTAGCATGTAATAACTTTATTCTGGACTGAGAATCAAGCATGAGTTATAGGTGCTGTTACAGCTATCTAATAATTCTGTATTTGGTAATCTTTCTTGCAAGACTACCAAGCACACATGCACTAAACCAGGTGAGAGAAATTGTCAGAGACTGTAGTGTCTTGGATTGCAAAGGTTGGTTATACAGCAAAAATATGAATTACAATAAACAGTACTGAGCATATTACAATGCTTACAAATAATGTGGACTCAATTCTGTTGTTTGAAAATTTACCTGTGCACTTGCAGCTGTGTTGCAAGTTTGATGTTTGGAAAATGTTAGGTTCTGGGTAGGATTTTCACTGATTCAGTGTAGCTTCAGATCTTACAAGTTTTCCTGATGCATTCCCTGTGATGATGAATACAGAGGAGCGCTTTTGAAGAGGTTTGCATTCCCTCTTTTCATTACTTCTGGGAATAAATAAATAACACATAAAACATGCTATTTCCTAACTGTCACTTTAAAAAGCATTAAAATTCCCTAAGCAGAGAACATGGACAGTTCTACAGCAAGATGTGTGCAGTAGATCTGCTGATTCCACTTAGCAAGTTTGCCTCTGTTTCCTTCTCAGTGCTTTTTGACCTCTCTTTTTTTCCCCTCCCTCCCCTTACTTGGTGTAACCAATATGAGTTGTTAACTGTAAAGACTCCTGCTTTGTATTTTTAATGTAAGTTTGTTTAAAATACTTAATTTCCTGAGATTAATTCGGTTAATTCAGTATTGATTTTTTTTTTTTTTCCAGGAACATGCTTTTGAGAGCAGTCAGAAATACAAAGAAGGAAAATTTATCATTGAACTTGCCCACATGATAAAAGACAATGGCTGGGAGTGAACCACAACTTTTTTCCTTCTGTTTGGACTATATTCTGTGGAACAGGCTTTACAAAGACTAATGCAAAGTAAAGGAAGAGCTTGGCTAGAGTGGCCCTGAGAATATCACTGAACTCTGAAACCTCACAAATGAGTAGTGTAGTGTAAGTGGCTATTTCAGGCCATGTTTGCCTTTTTCTCCTTGTGTAAGTTCCCTCTTTTTGTACGTGTATTATTGTGTGAACAGTTGTTTTGGAACATTTTGGATGACCTTTTTCTAAACTCTCTCAGACTAGAGAAACAGTTCACTAATTGAAAACAGATTTTACTGGTTAGCATCTCTCTCTGACCTATGCCTTTAATGCTACTTCTGCTGTGCATGCTTCTTGCCTAAACACCTACACTCCAGTCCTGTAGAAGTTCTGTACCTGAGCAGTCTGAAAGAATGTATGGGATGGGGTGCTTTTTTATATGTAGCAATTTCTGATGTGTTTGGCAGTGAAGAGGATGCAGTATTGTAGTTATTAATTTCTTTTTTCAATTTGAGTGTACCACAACCTATGTACATCTTGTAGGTGAATTGGTTAAAGGTACAGTGCTCACTTCAAAAAATATTTCAATTGCACTGACTGAAGTTAGCAGGTCTCAAGTTGTTAGGAAAGGTTATGCCAGAGGTTTGGTATCTTAATGAGAAAACATAGAAAGATTTTTAAATCAATAATGCTCTAGAATATGTTCCTTTAAGACCAACATATTCCTGCAGGAGTTTGCTGGATAAAAAAACTTAAACTATAGCTTGCAAGATTAAAAAGACAGAAAAATATATGCATCTTCTATTTTGGAAAAAAAAAATTAGTTGGTATATTAGGAAAAAACAAAGTTTTGGTACTGTACCTTTGCCAGTAACAGGGACTTGTGCATCAGTAAATTTTTATGGCTGGTTCCATTTACATGTATAGTCCTAATGCACTGGACAAAGAGGTTGTTGTCAAGGAAACTTGTTGAAGTCTTCTGCTACATTTGAACAAAAATATTTATTTTTGTGAGAAATGTCCAGAGCCTATGACATGAAAATTAATATAGTACCTGTAGGAAAAGGAGGAGTAATAAGAGGGAAGGGAATTTTGACTTGTTTTTTTCATAAAATAAAATAGCAAGATAGTTTTTAAAATTCAGGGGTGGGGAAAAGGGTTTCCTGGTTTGCTGGCTAAATCATCCCCAAGTATCTTTTTATAATAAAAATTTCTATGAAACTCACCTTCTCTTTTGTTCTCATGCTGTTTCTTTAATGGAATCAGTTAATGAGAGAAACTTCTGGAAAGTATATGCACAATATGAGCTGTTGGTATCTGTGTATGCAAACTGAGCAACTGTGAAAGAAACGCTCTACATAAATTTGCTAACTTAATTTTCAAATTAAGCAGTCTCTACAGACTTTTTGTATGTTTATCCTTTTAATGATTGAGGACAAACTGAAAAAAAAACCCTTTAACACTACGTAAGTCCTATAACTGAACAATACAGAAGCCTTGCAATACGAAATCCCTTTCTCTCAATAACAATTCTAATATGGCACCTGTGAAATTAATCACAAGTGCTGCTGCTGCTGTTCTGTTTTTGGGAATCTCTCATAGGCTTTCTGAACTCTGCTGCACTTTAGAAATTGTCAGACATAAAAAAGTATGCCAATGGGTAGGGGCAATATGAATCTTGAAAACCAGCTTTCCAGTGTTTTTGTGGGGAGGAGGAGTGAGAAGAGCATTCTCCCAGGTGTACACATTCTCTGTGATACAGGCTGGCTAAACTGCCTGACAGATGTTGTCATGATTGATACCCATGAATTAAAAATAAGAATTGGAGAAGTAGTTCAAGCTGTTGGGTTTCAGTCCAGAGGCCTGGGGTGGTACAGTTATGTAAACCTGGATTTTGTAGCTTACACGTTGCTACTTTGTGTTCACGTCAGGTCTCATTTTTAACAATGTCATTGATGCAAGATGGGCTTGGGTGTTGCCTGTCTCATGTTCTCTTTGACCTGGAATTCTTGGGATTTTTTCCACCATTGCAATGTATGTTGCCAACAAGGAAGGCACTAGAACTTCTATCAGCAAAAAGTTTGTGTTGGCTTCTAAGTCCTGTTGCAATGTTGATACTTGTGACCAGCTTGTGTGAGGTTTGTGTGTCTTTGGGCTTTTCTTATTTCCTGGCTACAGACTTGCTGAGGCAGTACACTGGACTGAAGGCAAAAGTAATGGCTGCTTTTCCAGAGAGAGTTGAAATTAAAGAAAATATGTAAAGTATTAAAGATTTTTCTCCCCAAAACTGGGGGTTTGGTTAGCTTTTGTTAGTAAGCTAATACTGTCTGTAACACAGTCTTATTCTTAGAAATTCAACCTCTTTCTTCAGTGCATTATTTATATTTCAAACTGGACATTTTCACCAAAACCTTAATTAACTTTGATGCCAAAGGTTGGGACTTCAAGTGCTTCGCACATAGAGCTTCAGACTACTGGCATAAAGAGTTAATGACCTATATGTGATCTTTATGGCTTTTAAGAGAACCAAACAAAGCAATATTCTTTTTGGTCTTTTATTAAGAGTGGATGCTTAGAAGGAGTAAAGGGTAGAACTAGTGCAGAATCATTATTTTATGCTGCCATGTAACAATTCTTGTGGCTTGTTCTTCTGAGGGAATATGTGAATTTTCTTCCCATGTTGTTTGGCAGCATCAATGATTATTTTCTTCCCTCATAAAGATATAGAGAATTCTTGTTATTGGTTTTGGTGAAAGTTGAATCCAGATAGCAATGACTGCTGGCTGATGTGAAGAGGTCAGTCTGGTCACTGAACCCTCCAGCAGTCATTTGAAAGAAAAATAAACTTACTTGAAAAAAAAATTTTACTAAAGCATTTTCCCTCTAACCAATTTTTGTAATATATTAAAGATTATATTTAAAGTTTGTATGTGTTTGCTCTGGGCAAGTTTACTTCCCCTTCAACTTGAGCACTTTTGTTACTTGTACTGGTTATTTTTGGTCTTAACATTTATTTTGTATTTTGTTTTTTATAAATTGTAACAAAAGCTTTTGTGAACCTTTGTTTCTTGCTGGCTCTTTCTTGGACCAAATGAACTGACTATGAGCTGGCTTAGAAGAAATGTTCATTGGGATGCATAGGAATTTGCTAGCAAAAATGTACATGTATTGAAAGTTTTTTTCCACTGAACCTCTAAAGCCACATCTGTCCTAAAGTAATTAATCATAATTTGGTGTGACTTTAGTAATCTGACCACACATTCTGTATCTAGGTCCAAAATAATGGTTCTAACAGTGGTTTTCCAGGACTGAGTCTGCCTCCAAACCCTAGAGTTCTTCTTTGGCTGGTTACTTTAAGTACCTTTTTGATTACTAAAAGGCAATGCTGCCGTATATAAAAATCCTGTCACGTTGCAAACTTGCTGTGAAATCAGCTGCAGAATTTGGTGAGGGATTGCTGACTGCTCAGCCTAACCACTCCTGCTGTATGTTTTTAGCAGCCTGGTAATCTTAATTTTATCAGCCAGTTAAAAGGGCCAGGATCTGAATTTCCCTTGTTGGTTGTAAGCTGTACAATGCAAACTGTGAAGGAAAATTGTTACAGCTCCATCCTAATGTCCCAGTACAAAGCCCAGGATAATGACCAGTGTGGGTGGTGTGCCGGTGTGCTTGCAGTCCTGGGGAGAGTAGGGAGAATATGGGTCATGACATTTCTTTGAGTTAAAAACTGACCTCAGAGGTTCTGAGCGAGTCCCCACTGCACCCATAACCAAAGGCTGTGTGTATTTCCTGCTGGTGGATCCGTGCAAGAGTTCCCCAATGGCTGGGGGCCATGCACTTCCCTCCAAGTGCTGCTCACAGGGCTCCTCCTGCCCGCTCATCTCAGCCAGATTGCAGCAGCAGCGACCTCCAGACTCACAGACCAAACTTCAGTCATCTCTAGCCTTGGATACTGGCCATGAGAGGAAGAAGCTGTCAAATTATTGTTCAACTTCTTGGACACTTGATTGGACTTCACTGAGACTCATGTTAAGCCAACCAGCAGTATAAACACTTACTGGAAAAGGAACAGATGCTTCAGAGGTTTCTTTTAAAAGGACTGTTACAAGTGGTTTAAGGTCTAAAGCATGAGTCATAAATGGCAGTTGAGTTGTGCCTCATTGTTTCTTAAACTCTTTAAAATGCTTTCTTTTACAGGTGACATGGCTGTGTTGCTGTTTTGTCCTTGCAATACTGTACATCTTTTGTTGTTTCACTATATTGTATCTATTCGAGGTATCACAATAAAAGCTTTCAATTGTTTTGTTGGGTTACCTGTTGGTTTTGTGCTATCTTTTCTTGTTAATTGAGTTCTCAGGCTTTATCCTCTGGTAGGCCCAGAGAGAGAAGACAGTGCTCTTAGTTGCTCTTAAAAAATGGGTTGAGTCTTATTTTTATATGGTTTTAGGACTGCCACAAAACATTTGGAGTTACTTCCTTTCACACATCTTTACAAAATGCAGAAATTTGTGCTGGTACTGCTAGGGCTTTTGCCTGTTTTGAGCCAATTGTGGGACTCTGCATAGTGAGAGTCAGTCTGTACAACCACCAAAAGGAAGAGGAACTGAAGTGTGGGTCTGCTTTTTGTTGTGCCAGTTCGATCAGCTGTGGATCTGAGGAGCACTCCTTCTGTTCATTCTGCTTTGGCTGAGAGGAACTCCTGTAGCTCCTCTGATCAGATTATTGGTCTTGTCAGTGACATCATCCCTCTGGACTGCCTGAGGCTCAGAATGAAGTCATTCAGTGCACACTTATGTGGTGTCTTCAATAATCCATCATTTAATCTCACAAAGGGATAGGAATGTTCTTCATGCAAGATCAAACATCTTATTTCCATCTTGAGAAAACATAAGATAGCCAGCTACCCTTTTTCCTGTTCAAGTGTTGTCTTAGGGTCATGAATTAAGGATAGTTCCAGATCTGAAAAAAAACCCCAAACCCTAGGGATAAAATGGCATTTTATGTGAGATGCGTGGACTTCATTGTATAAGATCCTACCTTTTGACAGGATATAACTGAAGTAATAAAGATCCAGATAATCCAGAAGTATCTTTTGAATTTGAGATGTTCATAGTAACATCCCTTTATATTTTGGTGTATCAGAGGGACTATACAAACACCAGCTGTCAGCAACTGGGTTACCAGAACAGTTTTGGCAATGTGAACTCCAGTGTTCTGTCTTACCAGCTGGAAAACACCAGGATGTCTGACTTCCAGATAGACAAGGATGGGCAGGTGCCTCATCTAAAGCTTGAGACCCTTCCATTAGATGTCTTTTTGCCCCTGTTAAATTTCAGTAATTGAGCAGTGGTGTAGGTTAGGCTTCTCCCCCACAGCCCAAGTGCTGCCTCTGTGACTGGGGACAGCAGTGTGTCTGTACTGCCAGAGCCCAGGTAGCCTGAACTGGAAAACAGCCACAACTAGAGCTGAGCTTATCCTCTGCACAGGGCTCCAGCTGGGTCTCTGCCCATGTGAGGTTCTTTCCACTTTTGTCTCTTCCTCTGCTCCCTGCCCTTGGCTCTGCTCCAGATGGGTCTGAGCAGGAAGCGAGCACCTGTGCTGCCACTGGCACTCACCTCCAGCAGGCACAGCAGCTGTGGATTAACTGAGGCTGGACAAAGTCGTTCCTGGCTGTGAAGCAGCTCTGCTGAGCCATGGCACTGATGAGCATTAACTGTTTCTCCTCTAGCAGAAGCTGAGCTGTTCTCAGGGTTTGGCTCGTTCATTTCTATGGTACTGCTGAATAAGATTTGAGCTGAGGAGCTAAGGTGCTCTGTCATCCTGGTAACTGTTTAATCTAAGCTAACCTGATTGCCTGAAGATTTTACTTAGTAAAGATCACTCTAGAAAGCAGACAATGCACGTTTTTCAGCGTTTAGTGAATTAATTTTTCATTATCTGATTTTTGTATTTTAATAGTAAGCATAGCTTAACTTTCTTGCCCAAATAGATTTTAGTGCTTTCAAATTTAAGCAAAAATAATGGCAGGGCCAAATTAGCACTTTATTCAAAACAGAGTTTGCATCCAGACATTAAAACATGCACATGTATGCAAAGTCCATTCTGGCATGAAATATCATGGCTCACCCTGTACTTGCAGGAAGGGTTATGAATGTTATTTAATTTTCAGAACATCTTTTTGACATGATTAGCTATGATCATCTGCTTTTTTTTACACCTGACAGAAGTTAAATTCATTTTACAACACAAGCAAAACCTTCCAGTTTGGAACCTGGAGCTGATGACAGAGCAGCAATGCTGTATTGCGCATCTGAAATGTTTTTCTTATGTTTAAAATGTAGAGTTAAAACTCCAGTGAATTAAACTGCCTGATTATGGTAAAAGTTTTCGGATTTTTTTAGCTATTGGTTGAGTGGCACTAATGCTGTGTTTGAATTGTGAGTTGAGGTATTTGTCCATTTAAAGGTGAAATCATATAAGCTTTATTCTGCAAAAAGAATTATTCAAAATGTTTCAGTACAGGATCATATAAAACCACTCCCACAGAAGTGTACCACTAAAAGGAAAAAAAAAAAAAAACAACAAAAAAACCCCAACTGCAGGAACTCTGTGCATTGCCTGTGCAAACAAACTTTTTTCCAAAACTTTCTTTAAAAGCCCACTAGAAGTCCAGAATCTTGTGACAGGGAGCAGGACTGCCAAGGGCCAGAACAGCTTGTTTTGCAATTGGGCCCTGGGGAAATTGCTACATCTCAGGGCTGGGTTGAAGCTGTAAAGCACGTGCTTTTGAGGACTGGGGGGGCTTTCCTAAACAAATATGTTTCCTAAACCAGTTTTAATCGATTCTCAGCCATGCGCAGGGGAAACCTGCTGATATTATCACAGTAAACCTTTAATTTTGTTAAACTGGAACTGCTGAACACTGTGAAACCACTTAGAGGGGCACGTGCTGAGTGCCATAAAGCCTGTGTGTGAGAGGTATGTGGGGCACTGGGACAGGAGGGTGAGGACTGACCGCTGAGGGCTGCGAGGGTGGTTGTGCCCAGGAAAGAGCTGGATCGGTGCAGCTCTGACAGCCTGCCCTGCAGACCAAGCACAAGTGCAAATCCTTGAAAACGTGACATTTTGTGACGTCAGGCCTCTCCCAAAACTTAAATGGCAAATGCCACTGCTTTTTGTGTGCCCTGTGGAGAAGGATGTGCCCCTGCCCGAACAGCCTGTGCTGGGCAGTGAGCGGAGCCTCCTGTGCGCTGCCCGAGGTCAGGCTGGGCTGGCAACCCACAGCTCCCAGCAGCTGCTCCTTGGGGCAAGAGCCTCTTTCTGGCCATAATCTCCTTATAGATGAATTCATCATCTGTTTCCACTGGTGGTCAAACAAGCACTATTGACTGGCTGGCACACTCTGCTTTGTTACCAACTATAACTGATAAGATTGAAAATCTGCTTCTGCTTGTCCACTTAAATTATCTTCTCTTCCTTCCTCTTTTACCTTCCTCCTTCCTCAATTCCCCACGTTTTTATGATACCCATAACAGACCAAAGTCTGCAGAATTTTGCTTTTTCATTGTTCGTCTTCTTTCTCCCACAGAAGAGAGTTGCCCCAAGGGGCAGCAATAATGATTTGTGGTCAGGCATGACACGGATATTTCACGGTTTGATCTAGAGCCGAACCAACCCGAGAGAGCCACTGTGCTCCCACCCTGCCTGGCTGGGTGTGCAGCCCCGTGCTGGGTGCCAGCATAGCCGGTCCCTGAACCTCAAGGGCAGAGAACAAGGTGCTGCTCTTTACTCCTAAACTATCGCTGCTTTACTGATTAAGCTCCTGCAGCAGGTTTTTTGGTCTAAATACAATTTCTTTGGCATAATAATCAACAGCAAATGAGCATGTATGAGCTGCAGACCCATAGCCTCCCAGCAATGCTGTGCTTTACTACCCCTGCTCCTCCTGCTCCCAAGCTGATGAAGCTAATGGATTTTTTTTAAACAGTGCTTTTTCCCCCTTTATCCCTCCCTTCTGCAATGAAAAGTTTCTCACAGCATCAAGGCTGGAAACACAAATGCCCTTTAATTACCTACTCATAATATACAAAAACAAAAGCTTTCTCACGTCATTCTTTCAATGTTTACTAAAATAGAGACCTTGCTCTGGCAGATCTCTCCTTTACTGGCCAAAACTCACGCTGAAGGTTAACAACTCCTGAAGTTAATGATTATCTGGCCTTGTTTGCTCAGTATTTCAGAGTTAAAACATGTAAATATGCCTCCCCCTATTAGCAGAGACAAATGTTTCTCCCTGGCCTGGCCTCCCGGATCTCCCAGAAGTGCTGCTCCCCGAGAAAACAGCCAGGATAAGGCTGTCCCTCTGGTGCTGGTGATTACACAGAGCCTGCTATGAAAACCCCCTCTCAAAATAGCAATTTCTAATCTCCCCTGAGGCCATTAATCAGGTTTCTAATCCAGCAAAGCTGGCCGTACTGTACAGGCTGTGATCCCCAGGCCTTTATTAGAAACCCCTCTTGGTCACAGCATTTACTGGGTCAGAGGACTGATTGTCACGTTTGTCTGGGCAGGAATAGCTGCCCATGTATTTTGTGAGACAGATCTGTGATAGTGGTTAATGCCAAGACCTGGCTGCACCTTACCTGTGAGTGCTGGACTTACCAAAGGCTCATCTGCATAGAAATACATCCCAGCGTCAACTCAAATTTGGTAATTCCTGAAGACTTAATCTCTGCTTTTCTGGAGACAAATGTAATACCTGGTCCTGTCTGGTTTCAGATCAGAAAGGAATGTCCTGAAGATTTGTGGCAGTCAAAACTTTCTGGGCAGCGTCACAAGAGCAGAGGTTTTGCCCAGTATTGACTAAACCCCAGCTGGGATAATTCCATCTGGTTCTTCTCCACCATTCCCCGGGTGATTCTATCTCGGAGGACCTGATGTGTTGCGGAGGTGTGGCATGTGACTGATGTGTATCCTCCACACAAGTATGTGACATTTGCAGCATTAACGGAGACGCCTCTGGCAAAAGGCACTGTACAAATGCAAACCCATCACTCACAAAGTGCTGCAGCATCCGCGGGCACGGCTGAGTGTGGGCAGTGGGCGCTACCGAGGCAATGGGCTGTGAAATCTGGAGGCTCCCTGTGGCCCGTGGGGATATTTAGACACTGAGGCCCTGGCTGGAGAGATCCAGCTGCCACAGGAGCTCGGCTGGAGGATGCTGTGGAGTCGGTGGGGGCTGTTCTGGTGCTCAGCAGTGTCTTGACTGCTCACGGAGGGGATGCTGTGGCTGAGCCCCACCTGAGGATTTGCC